ATATATCCCTAAGTGATATGTAGTTGATGCTCTGATTCTATTTCACATTTACTCATGTTGAATAGCCTTTCATTGATCTATAATTGATAGCATTTCCATGAATTATATAATTCGTAATAATGCATTTGAGTCATTGGTAGTTATCTTTTTCCCATTTTCCATGCTATGCTTCATCAGAGACTTGTGATGAAGAATTTATCATTTTGGCCTTTAAGATAGGTAAACTGAGTATCTATGGCATTATAATTTGTTTTGGTAAGTTGGGACGCTGGTTTGTATCTCTCCCTAAAAGAGTTAATTTCTTTCATAGGTCATAGGAGAAGTGATGGATTGCAGGATATGTACCTTCATCGGATCATGTTGTTGCAAACACTGTAAGTGCAACTTTATGTATCATTCCATACTCTAGGCCTCTTGGATTGGTTGTGACATATATTAGGAGGAAGATATTTATTATGTGATTCTTGAATTGATTGTGACAGGAAATCGAGTTTAAAACTGAAAGTTTTCAAGAGGACTCGTGCTGGCATTCGAGGTGGTTAGGTACTGACAAAGGATTGATTCCTGAGGATGGAATTGATGGAGAAGAGGATATCAAAGAAGATGAGGATATTGAAAGCCAGCCCAAGGTCTTGTAAGGAAAAATTCGACTCCAATTGTTACATAAGGAGGAGCCAGTGAATTTCATCAAAAGGTTGTCACTCTTTTTTTTTTTTAGAATTTTGTCACTTTTTGAGTGTGTCACTTTTTTTTACTGTCTGTCATTTTTTTAATATATATAACTTTTTTTAATTTGTGCCACTTTTTTGAATTCGTCACTTTTTTGAATTTTGTCACTTTTTTTAGTTTTTTTTATCACCTTTTAAGTTTTTGTCACTTTTTAAGAAGATGAAAAAAATGAAATAATATGTTATATTTTTCTAACATAATCAATATGTGGATTGGCTGGAATGTGGTGATTATTTTAAGAACATGATTACTGGTGATGCACAAATGGATGGAGCTATTTTAGTATTTGTAATTTTATTTTTTTTCACTCTTTTTGAGTTTGTGTCACTTTTTTAAAAAATAAAAAAGTGAAATTGTGTCACTTTTTCATTTTACACAATATTTTTTAATTCCTAAAAACTTTTCATATACTTTTTCAAAACATCTTTAATTGTAAGGGTATTTTTGTAAGTACCCCAAATATACAGTTTAAACAATTCCATTTTGTGGAAATTACGTTCCAACATGTGTTTAAAGATTACAGTTCATAAAATTAGCTATGAAGATTATTTATTCACATATCAAGTATTAATATAGTAATTATATATTAAATATCTCAACACAATTCAATTCCAAACCTTAAAAATCATTTCATTCTATTCCCACTCTCCATTTTCTATCTTCTCACTCTCCACCTACCCACACCCCTTAATCCGGCGACGGCAACATACCTATTGTCGGAGACCATAGTCACATTCACGAGGGCGACGCACCTACTTTCGGAGATCTCCGCCACACACACACACTTTATCTTCTCATTCTCTCTCACTCTGGTGCTATACCTACTGTCGAAGATGGTGGCACTCACAGCAACGACGCAATTATTGTCGAAGATCACCGTCGCATACATTTTCCCTTTTACAGAGATGATCACCACTGCCGGAGATGGCAGCGCTATCAGTGCTACTGCTCATGGCCCTACACAGTGGCGCTGTACAACGACAACAAGTCATAGATGTTTTTTGGTTAGTTTGATTGTCGGTGGTTTGCTTGGTTGTTGGGTTGTTAGTGGTGGTGGTGTAATAGTGGTGATTGTGGTGAAGTGTTATAGTGGTGGTTGTTGTTGGTGGCTGGAGATCTGATAATGGTGGCTGTGGTGGTTTTTGTTGGAAGTGGATTGGATCTGGTAGTGGCCGCGGTGACAGTAGCGAGGTGAGGGTGGTCACAAGTGGTCGTGGTGGCGATAGTATTGGTGGTAGTGGTATATGACCCACTATTTGGTGTATGTGACCAACTCTTTGGTTATTTGTGGCCTAAAAATTCAATAATTTATGATTGAAAAATAATTTATGACAAACTAATTTGAAAATCTATGACATGTAAATAAATGGTGACTTATAAATTTTTTGATTTATGACCGATGAAATAATTAGTGACCATTTAATTTGATAATATGTAACGTTGTAACCTATAAGTACACATATATGCCCAATAATTGTATAATTGTGACCTTAACATTATTAATTAATTAATACATGAGTTTTGAATTTTAAAACTTAAAACCTTAAAATTGAATTGTCCATACTTAATGTCTGAATCATGAATTTTTCCCTACCATTTTACCTACCGGTCTTCCAGCTAATTGGGCTCCTTGTCAATATTATGCCCTCTCACTAAAATTTTATTTTTTCTTAAATTCATTTTTAATCACTCATTCTTATCATAAAATATTAAAAAAAAATACATAATTACAAAAATTTAAAAATACATCTCAAAAAATAAGAAACTGTGGTCACATTTGTAACCACTTGATGACAGGTCAAGGCCACGAATACTAGTTAAATGTCACAATAACACATAATTGTGATCACATTCACAAATCGTATAAGGTCTTAGTCACAAAAATACAAATCGTAAGTTACAATTACAAATTTAATCGTAATCAGACTTTTTTTAGATCATATTTTATTTATTAATCATAAATTATCCATTTTATCAATCACATATTATTTATTGGTCAAAACTTAATCATTTTATTGGTTACAATCATCCAAATAATTGGTCACAAATGCTATTTATCCCACCTCACCTCACTCCACCAACACGGGTACCAACCGCACCACCTTTACCACCACTACCACCAACTACTATTTTCAAACGGCAAACAATCACCATCATTTGCAAACCGCCGACAATCACCAACGAAACCCACCCCAAAACTTCAGCTAAGCAGCGATGCAGCGGCTAGGCAGATCAGATCGGAGGAGGAGCATGACTTCGCACCGGTGCCCATCGCCGCTACACAACAACTTTGCTCTACGTAGCGACGTTCATTGCCCTGCGCGCGGTGCTCCTGTGCGAGGCGTAGTTTTCCTCTCTGTCTTTTTCTCATTTCTTGTTTTTCGTATGGATCATCATAATGCTTCCATATCGCCATCGCCGATTGTCCTCAGCTGCAGCCTCTCCGTCTCAGTCCCCCAGGACAGAGACTTGGAGAAAGTTTTGTCTTCGAAGAGGTGAGGAGGATACGCTAAGGAGAAGTTATGTAACCTTTTGTTTGGGTAGAAAATGAATTAGGGTTAAGGAGTAGCGTGGTTGTGGTGGATAGGGGTATACATGATTTTTGAAATAATAAAGTTAAATTTGATTTTTGAAATGATAAGTTAACAATTAGGGCTATGAGTAATTTCCTCTAAAATATTTTACACGTGAAGTTAAAAAAAAAAAAATCGCATTTTTTAACCATACATTCTTAAAAAATTAACTATTTTAAAATTTATTCTATAATAAAATGGAGCTCAAAAAACCCTGTATAAACGTAAATTTCTGATAAGAAATTAATTCCATGAATGAAATTTTGTCCACGATTTGTTTCTATGATGAAAAAAACTTCCATCACAAAATCTGTATTACTTTTATTTTTCATGAAAAATATCATTTTTTTAATCAAAATTCTTATTTTCAGAGTGTTTGATTGTCATTTTTTTTCCCATGGAAAATATTTTTGAAAATTTTGATCACGTGATCATGTTTTCTTAAAAAACAAGAAAAATATTTTCTTTATAAAAGGTAAGTTTTTATTTTTTAGATCGTTCACTGGTTCACACATTCCAAAAACTCAAATTTATGAAGAAGTGCAAAATTTTTAGGTTGAAAATTAAATGATAATTACATTGATTCAAATTTGGAGTGTAGTAGCTAGAGAAAATACATTGAGTTCAGTCTCTTAGGGGGAACCATTTGTCCCTATTATAGACTTTTACATAAAACAACTCCGTTGTCCTATGCCATATCAATTACAATGCCGACCTCGGAGTGTGTGCCACCGCTCTTCGTTTAAGGTTTCTAATTGGTTGTGGAGGTCGATCGATCACGTTATTATAAGGTCTAGCTTGTAGCCGTGACATAGGCTATGATTATATGTCACTTGGATAAGCATTGTCCAGCCCAACCTATTTTCTAAATTCAATTTTTTGATTTAATTTTTTAACCCAATTATTAATTTCATTCTTAACTCAAAATTTAGGCATTTTAAAGTTTTTATCATTCTCTTTTCAATTTCACACTTTCATTCAATAACCACTGAGTCACTGACCCCAAATCATTTGATAAATTGAAAACCTACATCTACATGTCCAAATCGAAGCCGCCGATTGTTGAGTCCGACTTTTTCTCTCCAACTGCCTATCGAAGCCACGACCTCCAATCACGATCACCAATCATTAGCCATTAAAAATCTTTTAAAAAATTTAATTATAGTATGAAATCGAACCAAATAAAACCGAACCCGAACGGTTCCATAATTAATTTGGACCCGACGATTCCATTTATTAAATACCGAAAATTTTGGTTGAGTTCGATTTTAAAGAGAATCGAATCAGACCATGTCCAGCCCTACTTGTTATTCACGGGGTGGTTAATCATTAGGTGTGGTAGCTTTTCAGGAATTTTGAATCATGATGTTCCTTCCTATAATGGTGAACAACGTTCGATCTATAAACCATGTTCTGAGTGTTCGATCTAACCGTAGCTCGGAAATATTTTTTTTAATTGAGTTGGAAGATCGGACACCAACAAAGGTATATGTGAAAACATCAATGTGTCAAACAAATTTTATTTACAAAAAAGAATGTAAAACATTTATGACAAATAATATTTTTTCTTGTAATGTGGATAATGCTTGAGCATCATCATTCGGGAATAAAATATTAATAATGAATTGGACTACATACCAGAGGTGGCAAACGGGCCGAGCGGCTAGTTGACTCGGCCGCTCGACTCGTCAAAATACGGCTCGTGAGGCACTCGGGCTTGTCTTTTCCCGAGCCGAGCGGGCAACTCGCTAGGAGAGTCGAGCCCGCTCAGCTCGTCAAAAAACGAGCGACTCGTGGGCTCGTCCAAGGTGAAGGGCTTTTTTTTATATAGATAAAAAAAATGTTTATCTTTAAAAAAAAATTGATGAGCTCGCGAACCGAAGTTCAGCTCGGCCCACGAGCTCACGGGAGGAGCAGAGCTCGGCCCACGAGTAACGAGCCACGAGCCGAGCTCGTGTGCGTGCAGGCCGAGCCCACTTGGCTCGGTCCATTGCCAACTCTGCATACCATATATCCCATGTTGTACTTCTATACGGTTTGCAGTCATTATTAAATAATCTTACCAATTAATCTTTATTTATTTAGGCCAAATATTTTGTAATTAATTTATGTGATAGTTACAATCTTCATGTTATCCTAATTAACTTCTAAATACATTATAATCTGAGCTGAATGGTGACAAAATGGGTAAACGACCCATAACAAACCAAATCGAAGCTTGCCCAAACCGCTTGAGTCGGGATTAGTAAGCATATATGGCAAGATATTTAGAGTTAGATTTTTCAATTCAGTGACTCATGAGGATCGGTCCAATCAGCTCGATTGATTGAAAAAAA